CAAAGATATAGATTCTTAACCCGAGGTTCCACGGACCTCCTTGAACTTGGATGCGAGAAAAGGTTACATTTTTAATTTTATTAACCTCTATGTAAAATTTAGCATTTTCTCCAGTTATGAATGTAGGCCACATGCCACAGTAGTGTTGGACCTGTGACTTTGTCATATTCCAATTGTTCAAACATCACAACATATTATTTACACTCATTTTAAACTGGGTTAATAGAAAAAGATATATATTATTCTATCGCAAATTTGTTTTCCTAATATTTGATGAAAGTCATTCAATGGAATTTATTTCCTCTTTAATCCTATGGACTTTACAACACTATCCTAAGAAAGATCCAAAGGCTTCAATGTCAAAGAGGTCAATGGCACTAGATAAGGTTAAGAATGCCTGAAAAGGAAAAACAAAATTCACTCATACATGTTATGGGTTTATCACCTAGGCTGGAGCTACAAAATTTTAGTAATAGGCCTATGAATTGAATCCAAAGAAATGGTCTAAGTGGATATTCTCCTTTGGAATTATGGAGCCTGTAGTTGTTTTAAAATAGGGTTGTAAATTCTTTGAAAATTGCAGCAAATTTCACCACCAAAAGCTGTGTCTATGTCCACTCCATTTGAATCTGGGTAGGATTGTGACCAATAAAGTACAGAAAGAAGTGACACTTTCATGACTCCCAAAGCTAGGTCCAAAAAGGCCATGAAGCTTCCTCCTTGTTCTCTGGGACACTTGTTCTTGTAGTCCTGAGTTACCATGTAAGAAGTCCACCTACCCTGGGACTGCTAGGCTGGGTACAATTCCACGGCACATAGTGAGGCCTCTTGTAGGCAATTAGGTCAACAGTCCTAACTGAGCCCAGCTGTTGGGTCATCACAGCCTAGATGCCAGACATGTTGGTGGATAAGCCTCCAGATGATTCCAGCCCCCAAGCTGTTTGAGTTGCCATAGTCATTCACTTCCAGCTGAGGACCAAGCACCATGGAGCACAGACAAGCCATCCTCTCTGGCCCTGTCTGAATTCATGACCCACAGAGGACCAGAATAGGGTTTAGCATGAGCCAAACAAGAATATAGGTAGTTTTTTGGCATGAGTCTCTCCTAGAAGATAATGTCAGTTAAACTAAACAGGCTATAGTGGTCTTAGAGCTGCCCATTGATCATGATGAACATGCAAGTTGCAGTTCAATTGACTATAGAACTCAGGCTATATGCTTCCCACTAGATGGTCTCAGATTACACAAACCATCCTGATACAGCCCCTTCGGCTGTTTGGAGGCTACCCTGCCATCACTGTCCAAGACTCATTTCCATCCTAAGTTCCTTTTCACCTAAGTGTGGATTGCCAGGTCAGGGTTGGACTCCACAGCACCACAACATGCAATTGAGCTGGGAGGAATGGATCTGCTTAAGGAATATTGAAGAAAGAACTGCTTTGTACCAAGATAGCTGGATCCTGTGAATTTCTTTTCGCCACCTCCATGGCTACCCAGTGCCCTGGATTCTCCTGGTTTTTAAGTGCATATCACTGTTGCTCTACCCTGCAACACAGATCACACACTCCTGGACAAGGAGCTGTGACCACATCAAAATCACCACCAAGGTATGACAAGCCTTGAAAGCTCACAGATACCACCTAAGACCCCAGACTTTGGTTAGCGTTGTAGGTTTTAAGGTCTTTTTAAGATGGACTGTGTGAAGAAGGAGAGTCTCATTATCTTAAAAATCTTTTTTTTTTTGACCATCAGGGTTTCTACGAAGTCTTTTCAAGGATGGTGATTAGAGATCTACTATATAGGAAGCATTCTGGAAAGAATAAATTTTGATTATAAAATATTTCAGTTTATAATCTGTATTTATAAAAATTTTAAATTCTAAAGTATATCAAGATATGATATATGTCTCGATATAGCTTAGAGTTAATTTATTTTTTAATCCTTTTTTCTTTAATGATTTACCAAAAACCACAGATGGCAATGCTCCATTTGGGAGCAAATTAGCAAAGGCACTGTAGCTTTTTCCTCCTTTATTGTGCTATTTACAACAGAATAAAGGTTAGATCATTCATGTCAATCTATTTAAGTCTACAGCTTGTTTTCACCTTAAGCAAAAAGCAATTAATCTTGAGTAGAGGTGATTAAGGACCTCAGAGAGTGTAGCCCTCTTGCAGATGAACACAGAGCACAGAGAACGAGGTAGAATTGTAAATGGTTTGAGTCCACTGAAGAATCAGTTCAGCTATACAAAAATCTCTTTGGTCTGAAGATTTCAGACAAGGATACACTTTGTTGTTGTTGTTAGGTGCCGTTGAGTTGGTTCTGACTCATAGTGACTGTTATGGGTTGAATTGTGTCCCCCCAAAACATCTGTCAACTTGGTTGGGTCATGATTCCCAGTATTGTATGATTGTGTACCATTTTGTAAATCTGATGTGATTTCCTTATGTGTTGTAAACTCTATCACTATGATGAGGTTATATGTGATTTCCTTATGTGTTGTAAACTCTGTCACTATGATGAGGTTGTACTGATGAGGTTTACAAGATTAGATAGTGTCTTAATCCAATCTCTTTTTAGATATATAAGAAAGAAGCGAGCAGAGACACATGGGAACTTCATACCATCAAGAAAGCAGTGCCGGGAGCAGAGCGCATCCTTTGGACTTGAGGTTCCTGCACAGAGAAGCTCCCAGACCAAGGGAAGACTGATGCATCACATGGGCCTTCCTGCAGAGCCAAGAGAGAAAGCTTCTCCTGGAGCTGATGCCCTGAACTAGGACTTGTAGCCTACTGGACTATGAGAGAATAAATTTCTCTTTGTTAAAGCCATCCACTTGTGGTATTTCTGTTGGAGCAGCACTAGATGACTAAGACAGTGACTCTATGTACAATAGAATGAAATACTGTCTGATCCTGCACCACCCTCATAATCCTTGTTGTGCTTAAGCCCATTGTTGTAGCCACTGTGTCAATTCATCTCGTTGAGGGTCTTCCTCTTTTTTGCTGACCCTCTACTTTACCAAGCATGATGTCCTTCTCCAGGGACTTTTCCCTCCTGATAACATGTCCAAAGTATGTGAGGTGAAGTCTCGCTATCCTCTCTTCTAAAGAGCATTCTGGCTGTACTTCTTCCAAGACAGATCTGTTCATTCTTCTTGTAAAAAAACATAAACAAAAACAAAAAAACCTGTTGTGTTCAAGTCAATTCCGACTCATAGCGACCCTATAGGACAAAGTAGAACTGCCCCATAGGGTTTCCAAGGAGTAGCTGGTGGATTCAAACTACCAACTGCTTTGCCACTAGGGCTCCAATATTCTTCGTCAACACTGTAACTCAAAAGCCCCAACTCTTCTTCAATCTTCCTTATTCATTGTTCAGATTTTTCATGCACGTGAGGTGATTGAAAATACCATGGTTTGGGTCAGGCACATCATAGTCCCAAAGTGACATCTTTGCTTTTTAAAACTTTAAAGAGTTTTTTTGCAGCAGATTTGCCGAGTGCAAGCAGCCCTTTGATTTTCTTGACTGCTGCTTCCATGAGTGTTGATTGTGGAACCAAGCAAAATGAAATCCTTCAATGGTTTCCCTCTTTATAATGATGCTGCTTATTGGTTCAGTTGTGGGAATTTTTTTTTTTTTTAATGTTGAGGTGTAATCCACACTGAAGGCTGTAGTCTTTGATCTTCATCAGTAAATGCTACAAGCCCTCTACACTTCACCAAGCAAGGTTGTGTCATCTGCATATTGCAGGTTGTTAATGAATATTCCTCCTATCCTGCTGCCACGTTCTTCATATAGTCCAGCTTCTCGGATTATTTGCTCAGCATAAAGATTGATTAAGTGTGGCAAAAGGATACAACCCTGACACATACTTTTCCTTATTTTAAACCATGCAGTATCCCCTTGTTCTGTTCGAAGGACTGCCTCTTGGTCTATGTACAGTTTCTTTATGAGCACAATTAAGTGTTCTGGAATTCCCGTTCTTTGCAATGTTATCCATAATTTGTTATGATCCGCACAGTCAAATGCCTTTGCATAGTCAATAAAACATAGATAAACATTTTTTTTGGTATTCTCTGCTTTCAGCCAAGATCCATCTGACAGCAGCAATGATATCCCTCATTCCACATCCTCTTCTGAATCCAGCTTGAATTTCTGGCTGTTCCCTGCCGATATACTGCTGCAACCGTTTTTGAATTATCTTCAGCAAACTTTTACTTGCTTTTGATATTAATGATATTGTTCAATAATTTCTGCATTTTGTTGGATCACCTTTCTTTGGAATGGGCACAGACATGGATCTCTTCCAGTAGGCTAGCTAGGTAGTTGTCTTCCAAATTTCTTGGCATAGATGAGTGAGCGTTTCCAGCATTGCATCCATTTGTTCAACTGTTTCAATCGGTATTCTGTCAATTCCTGGAGCCTTATTTTTCGCCAATGCCTTCAGTGCAGCTTGGACTTCTTCCTTCAATACCATCACTTCTTGAGCATATGCTACCTCCTGAAATGTTTGAATGTCAACCAATTGTTTTTGGTACAGTGACTCTGTGTATTCCTTCTATCTTCTTTTGATGCGTCCCACGTTGTTCAATATTTTGCCCATAGACTCCTTCAATATGGCAACTCAAGGCTTGAATTTTTTCTTCAGTTCTTTCAGCTTGAGAAATACCGAGTGTATTATTTCCTTTTGGTTTTCTAACTCCAGGTCTTTGTGCATTTCATTAAAATACTTTACATTGTCTTCTTGAGCTGCCCTTTGAAATCTTATGTTCTAGAAGCCTTGAAAACTTAGAATAGATATAATTTCTGAAGAAATGATGGTACTGCTGAAAGTATCTGAACTGGAGATTTTAGTGGTAGAAGGCCCCATAGTTTAGAAACGTATTTCACAGTTAACAAAAGAAAATACACTGTTACTTTTGAAAAACACAAAGCAGAGGTTAGTGAAATTTAATGAGATTGGCTGAAGTAATAGCCAAAGAACTATAAATTCATACCTGTGAGGTAGGTGTTGTGTGAGGAATTAATGAAATAGTGAGAAAGGGGCTGAGACATGTCTTCATTCAAATCCAGTTTCTCAGGTGAAACGACTCCATTTTCTTCCCCACTCAGATAGCGCATAAATCCATCCACAGATATCTGTCCTGCAGGAAATGAAGAGATAAGCATGTAAATTTATTTTTTGAGTTGCTAGTATCAAGTTGCTTCATTATTTTTTCTAGAAAACTCTGTTAGCACCTACAGTGGGAGGACAGCAGCCACAGTGTGTTTTCATATGGATTAAACAATATGTTTAATCTTCTGGGAATGGAAAACTGAATGCTCATATAAAAGGAGGTCTTTACAGGGGACAACTTAGTCAACTGGTATAACTTGTTCACAAAAATAATGTTCTACATCCCAGTTTGGTGAGTAGGTTCTGGGGTCTTAAAAGCTTGCGAGCAGCTATCTAAGATACAACTATTGATCTCTATTCATATGGAGCAAAAGAGAATGAAGGAAGTCAAAGACTCAAAGAAGAAACTAGTCCAAGGGACTAATAGTTCACATGAACTACAGCCTCTTTTAACCTGAAGCCAGAACTAGGTGGTGCCTGGCTACCAACTGCCAATCATTCTGACCAGGGACACAATAGAAGGTTCCGGATAGAATGGATGAAGAATGTAAAACAAAACTCAGATTTCTAAAAAAGGCCAGACATACTGGACTGATAGGCTAGAGGAACCCCCAAGACTATCACCCTAAAGATACCCTTGGAACTTGGAATTGAAGCTAATTCTAAAGGTCACCTTTCAGCCAAATAATAGATTGGTTTATAAAATAAACAATATCACCCATGAGTAACGTACTCCCTTAAACAATGAACTATATGAGACCAAATGGTCAACATTTACCCAAAAGCAAAGATGAGAAGGCAAGGAAGGGAAGGGAAGATAGATCAATGGAAACAGAACAAACAGAATGGGAATAATGTGAATGTTGACACATTGTAAAAATTGTAACCAACGGCACAGAACAATTTGTATAAAAATTGTTAAAGGGGAACCTAATTTGCTGTGTAAACCTTCACCTAAAACACAATAAAATATTATTTTTTTAAAAGGAAGTATTTAAAACACATATTTAGAATGATTTTCTTCAAATGGAAGAAATATTACACTTTATTTGGTTTACCGAGATTCTACTTAGAAATTTTTCTTTTGTTATAAATTTTCTGAGGAGACTAATATTAAATATTGAGATTATTCTTGATCTTTATCACAGTAATCTTTATACAATACAAAGAGCAATCCACCCTAACTACCCTGGCTCATCACAAATTGTTTCTTCAACCTTAACGATCGAAGTCTCAAAATGACAGAACATGTGTGGCTGTGAAAGTCCCTGCCAAGCAATGTTTGGAGAGCAGCATTTCTTTTTTTGTGGAAATAGTTTTGTTATTAAAAGTAGTATATATTCACTGAAGAAAAATCAGTAAATGAGACAAGCAGAGAGGAAAAAAAAAAACCTTTTTCTGAAGATACATAACTTTTATTTCAGAGGTAACTATTGTTTCTAGGGGGAAAATACATATGTGTGTGTATAATTCTTTTATGAAGAGCGTCTCATATATATGTATATACATACATTTTATATATTTGTATTATTTAGTAACTTCCTTCTTATATTAACTGAACTGAATTAACTGAATATATTATGAACATTGTTATGTGAAAATAAATTCCAGGTAAATAAATATTTAACTATAACATGCCTTTCAATGACTAAGTAGTATCCCATTATCTTTGGACATTAAAGTTGTTTCTAATTTTTCACTGGTGTAAATGACATTGTATTGAATACTCTGATAGTTAAGTCTTTGTATACATCCATAATTATCTCTTTAGGATGAATTCTCAGAAGCAGAATTGTTAGTTCAAAGACTATGCATATTTTTAAGGCTTTTAATACACATCACCAATTTGCTTTTTGTTAAAGTTCTAACAATGTTTTGTTTCACCAATGGTGTATTTAGTACTTATTTTCCTTCCTTTCACTACTACTACACACTGATAGGTAAAACCATGATATCTAAAAATTCTAATGTTTATTGATTGGAGCATTATTTGTTTTTGAATTGTAAGAAGCGTGTCATCTGTAAATGGCAAAGCTAGCACTGACTGTTTACCACAGCTTAAGTGTTTTCACACCCAATAAATTCCTCAACATGGCTGATGACTACTTTTCCCAAATTCTGGAAACATTATAGCTCAATCTCCACCAATATTTTCCAGAAAAAAATAACAATAATGAAATTTAGTTATTTGCTCTTATGATAAGATCTGAGTTTAATAAAGAAAATTCTTCTTAAGCTTTTAAGTAGGAATGATTATTTGTGCTGTTAACTGTTTAAAAATCAACTCTAATGTATATCTCAATACGTTCAATAGTGATTATTTTTTAAAAAGTCCTAAGAAGGTCTCTTGCATAAAAAATGAAAAATATGACATAAACGTCCTCATACGGGTAACTTTAATAAGTACCAGAGTTCATACCTCCAAATACCTATCATGTAACAGAGTGATCATTCCAGTCATGTTGCTATTGATGAGAACACTTGGTAACTGCCTTCGAAGTCTTTTTGCAATTTATTTAGGTGGAATGTTTATCTCCTTGGAGACTGGTTTCAGTTTTGGAAACAAACCAAAGTCAGTGTCACTCATGGCCAAAGGTACTTCAATAGATGGGTTTAAAGAATAGTTTGGAGTATAAAACTCAGAGATAAAATTTTATTTAAAAATTATTTTTTCATAGTTTTACTTTCTTCTTTCTATGAAAACTCCATCTTGCCAGGTATTTCTCAAACTAGAGTCTCTATTCCTCCTTCCCTCCCTCTCTCCTTTCTTCCTTCCCTTTATTCCTAGCTTTCATTCATTTAACAAAGATGTATTGAACGTGTGCTATATGCTAAAACATTAAACCAGTTGCCATGAGTTGATTCTGACTTAGGGCGAACCCATGTGGGTCAGAGTAGAACTGTGCTCCAGAGGGTTTCCAATGGCTGATTTTTTGGAAGTAGAAATCTCCAGGCCTTTCTTTGGGGGCACCTCTGGGTGGACTCAAACCTCCAACCTTTTGTTTAGTAGATTAGCAGCCAAGCATGTTAACCATTTGCATCACCCAGAGACTCTACTATGTGCAAAGTATACAGAAAACTAATGTACAAGCCCTACCTTTAAAAAACTTACAATCTAATAGAAAATTAGACAGTTCACACCATGAAGTCCTCCAAAGCAGGGTGCACACTTATATCTTTGTCACCTCTGGCATCTACATTTTGTACATAGTAGCCGTTAAGTCAACACTTCTTTTTGATGATTGTAGCAGTTCAAAATTGAAAATGTATTGTTCTGAAAACAAGAGATCAGCAAGGATAACATAATTTGGTTTGGTTCTGGTTTGTTGCTTAAGTCAAATCATATGAAACTGCTAATATTTGACTGTTTTAAACCAATGTAAATGGAAGTTTCATACAATTCGATCTCTAACTAAAGATATTCCTTAGAGGACAGGTAGTAATTGCAAGTGTCTTCAGGGGTCAGGAAAAGAAAGTAATATGACAGCCAGATGAACGTATATACCTGAGAATTGTGGGATATGTGGAAACCTGGCCAGTGTTTGCTCCTCCCAAAGGTATGCAAATTAAAACAATAAACAACCGTGTGATCAAACAAACCATCTCTATGACGCTGAACGTGACCCTGAGGCTGTCAGTTCGTAACTGTTATCTTGCAGGAGTAAACATCCTTTGGTCTGATGAGCAATGCTTAAAAGCATACATATAGGACAAAAACAAAACATATACCAATAGGGCAGGGGGGACAAATAAATCTCTCATTTATTGTTGTGTTGAGAAAGATCCTGATCCATGCTCATAATTAAGCTCTGATGTCGGTCATTGGTGCAGGACAGACAATGAGGGTATACATACCATGCATCAAACAAACAAACAAAACCAAAAACCAGTCGAGTCGATTCTGACTCACAGCGACCCTATGGGATAGAGAACTGCCCCATAGGGTTTCCAGGGAGTGGCTGGTAGATTTGAACTGAAGACCTTTTGGTTAGCAGCTGAGCTCTTAACCACTGCGCCATCCTCAAATGACGATATTATAATTAAGGTCAAGGTATAATTTGCAGCATGCCAAAAAATGTGTCAAAACCAGGAGGAAGACAAATACAGTTCAAAGAAGGGCATGAGACACTGATCTATACATACATGTGTGTGTCCAATTCAAAAAGAAAAAGCTAGAAAAAGATGTAGCCAGTTAATGTCCTACAGGTCAACAAAACCATAAGCTTTTGGGTTATCGTCTAGACATTTATTACTTCATAGGAGTAAAAGATTTTAACAGATTAAAATCAGTAAAAAACAAGAGTTAGGTGAATGAGTGTTTTTCTGAAGATTATTTATAATTATGTTAAATATTTTAAAAATTCCCAGTGGAGGAATTTACCTAAGCTTGAATAAGAATGATGAATTGTGTTTGGAAGGCTGTTTCAGAATACGATGGTAGACTGCAAGTGAGTAGCTACTGAGAATCAACTTTTCCACCCCAAAGTTTTGCCTTGCAAACAAAAGCAGCAAATGCTCAGTGTTCGTTATGCACCAAATGACATGGCAAAGATATGTCAAAGCCAAGAAAAACCAGTGAAAAGGTAAGGATAAAGAGTTGTCAGTTTATAATTTAGAAGGAGTTTGGTAAGGGGGCAGGAGTTCATTTGTAAATATGAAGATATTTTTCGCATAATGAATTATCCTAAAAAATAGTTCTGACTAGTAAAGGCTTGGGGACACAGAACAGACCCTCAGAGATTTTCCTTTGTTCCATATAACCTACAGCTAGAATATTGCTGTTGTTATTGACTCCAATGAGCAAGTCCTATTCCATCAGCCTTGGATTGTCTGTGCAAAACTGCTCATATATTTTTTTTCTTGTCTATTGAGGAACATAGAAGAATGAAAAACCTTGAGGACTAAAACAGGGAAAACATTGATTTTCTGAATAAATTAGTAAGAGCACAATCAATCCAGACTCCACTCCTGTCAGCACTAACTAATCAGGTTAAACTCCTTAACCATAAGACAAGTGAGGAAGAAAGA